TGGGGTTGTTAACCAATGTCATAAAACAACATGTGTACTACTGTTTCATGAGAAACTATTTGTTCTGTAAGCCTTCACCTGAAGTACAATAAATAAATAAATAAATAAAAAAGCTGGACAATGAATAAGGAAGACCAAAGAAGAATTAACACCTTTGAATTATGGTGTTGGCAAAGAATATTGAATATACCAGGGACTGCCAGAAGAATGAACAAATCTGTCTTGTAAGAAATATAGCCAGAGTGCTCCTTAGAAGCAAGGATGGCGATACTTTGTCTCATGTAGTTTGGACATGTTATTAGGAGGGACCATTCCCTGGAAGAGGACATATGCTTGGTAAAGTAAAGGGTCAGCAAGAAAGAGAAAGACCCTCAGTGAGATGGACTGACACAGTGGCTGCAACAGCGGGCTCAAACATAGCAATGATTTTGAGGATGGCGCAGGAGCGGGCCACGTTTCATTGTGTTGTGAATAGTCGCTATAAGTCGGAACTGACTGGATCGCACCTAACAACAACAGCAACACTTCATCTAAATGCCCATATCTCTGGACCCATGAAACATTTTGCAGCATGTTGATCATCCAAGTAATTTCTCTTGAAACTTGGCAGCCAGAATGGCACAGCACATGTCTTATTATATGAAATCGAGCAAGAGCCTAAACAGTGTGCACTCAGAGTTCCTATAATTCTGTTTATTGGTGTTATCTGTGTTCTTGGAGATGTACTCTCCCTTTTTAGCCATTTGCAAAACTGGAAACATCAGACCTTGCACAGAAAGTGAGTAGAGGGAGAGAGAGTGAATAAATCAGTCAGTCTCTGGTGGAGGCACGTAAGAGGGAGGGGCAAGGCGTGAGAGGAACACTGCAATGTCTTTAATATTCTAAAGATGTTTGTAAAATATTCTGCTTTAAGAGCACAGAAGTAGAAAGAGAAGACTCATCACTAACATAAACAGAAAACAAGTACTCTTAAAAGTGCTAAGTAGTCTCATTTGTTAAGAACAGTATGTGAATGTGTGGCAACAAGTTGTTTTCAGGAGGTGTTTGGGACCCCTACAGGTGGCTGCCTGTCTGTCTTCCCGCACTACACACACATACACGTTTATGGTTATGATGGCTATACGCATGTATACATAGATAAGGTTATATGGTTACATATGGTTCTATATATTGAGATAAAGTTTGCTGTTACAGGCCAACAGATGACAGCAACCAGCCCCCGGGCCGGGGCGTTCTCTCCATGCACGGGCTGACCTATGGCGTCATCCGAGTGGACTCAGAGGAGAAGCTGTCTGTCCTCACTGTACAGGATGTTGGCCTGGTGATGCCTGGAGGTAAGTACCAGCCTGGGGAAGTCCCTGGGAATCATACAAGGTAGAATTTTCTACACAAAAGAGTTTGAAGTCAAAAATCACAACCCTTTGTCCTCGTGGGTTAATCAACTATTAAATATGTTCTTAAAATACATCAGCAGGTTTTTTTTCTGTACTGATCCTCTAATAGAATCTCTCAGATTGAATGTTTATTTTCCACTTTAGGTATGTCATTCCATTCTTCTAAAGCACGCATTAAGCTTCAAAAGCTTAGGGTAATGCTGCCTCTCAGTGAAAGTAAAACCCAAAACGTGCAAGAACAACTTCCTGATGGAGAAGGGTATTTGTGCCGTTTTGTACAACTCTGGCTCCAGAACCCATCTTCCCTGGGGAAGCAGCATTGAGCAGCTCTCCTGCGTTGTCCTGGCAGTTGGCGAGCTTCTCCTCCTTCAATATGAAGGAGCAGGCTTTAAGACATGTGGCCAAAGCTGGAACCCTCAAGCAAGACTGCTAAAGCACTAAAGTCTCTTAACAAATGTATATGAAAGATTTTTTAAAAAGTGTATGAAAACCGAGTAATCTGAGTAATCTGAATCTAGATAATTGTTTAAAAATTTTAACTATTAAAAAAACCGTAGGTTTAAAAATTCTTTTTTAAACCCCTTTTTAAAAAGTCACAGAAACCCATCTTTAGAAAATACATAAGGAGAATTGCCATGAGTTTAATGGCCGTCTGCTTTGTCGTACCCCAGCTGATTCTCCAGTCCCCCCATACCGTGCTCTTCAGTCACCACAGTGAGGCCATAGAGCTCCATGAAGCACTGTTTAAAAACTAGTGTGTTAGTGCTAAGAGATCCGGCCTACTTACTTGCACAACGATTTTGCTTGGTTCCTGTCTTTCTCCGCTTAATAAATACATGCTTTAGCATTTAGGCTTCTCACCATCTAGCTCCAAAATAGAGCTAAGTTCTCTTACTCAGTCCAGGTTTGCCCTACCTGGACTGGTCGTCTTCTGATGTTCTCATCCATGTAGCAGGACAGTCACTTCAACACACACACAACTGCAGCAACAACACCTGTGAGACACACTGGGAGGGAACAGGAGGATAATTTCCTTACCATGAGCATGTACATCTGCTTCTTGGGGAAGCAACAAATGAAGTTGTTATAGGATCTTAGTAAGGAGTATCTGATTGAAATAAGAACATGTGTAGGACAGAAAGTGTTGCACATATTATGGAATCTCATTGCCCTTTATATTGATGCCATGGTGTGCCTGTGAGCTTTCCCCTGGAATTGTTTTGCTTTTCTACTTGCCCTGTCTGGAGTGTAAAAGAAATAAAGCCAGACTCTGACATTCCTCATTCTCAATGCCTCTCTAATTCCAGTGTTACTATGAAGAGTGTTTCTGTTCCTCCTTTTACACCTGAAAACTGTCTCTTCAATGTCACAGCACTTTTGCTTGTACCTTCTAATTCCCCCCCACAAATTTTGCATTTTTTCTAGGCTTAGCTAGACTTTCTGTCTCTGTTTCTTTCTTTCTTTCTGGAAACAGTTGTTTTTCAAGTAAAAAACCCACATGGTTCAAAATGCAGAAGGTTCAAAAGGTTATGCAATGAAAAATCTCATTTCCAACCATTAGAGACCACCAAAAGCATCCCGTGGTTTCTTTCAAAAATATTTTGGAACTATATAAATGAACACACACATATATACCCACACACGTATGTGTGTATATGTATTCCTTTTTACTGTTTTTTGTTTTTTTATTTAACATAATGGTAGAGTACCAAATACATCGTGTCTTTTATCTGGAAGCTCTTTTGTTAGCAGTATGTAAAGAGTTTACTCATTCTTTTTAAGACAGTATAGTGTTAGGATAAATAATAGTTTATGTAGGCTGTCTCCATTTAGGTTATTTCCAATCTTTTACTGTTAAGCAGTGCTGCAGTGAATAACATTGTCTGCACTTCACTGTGCACATGTGTAAGAATTATCTAATGGAAAAAATGGGATTTCTATTTCGAAGGGAATATGCCTGTGTAATTTTGATAGATTACACTACATTATCTTTCAAACAGTTTATATTTCTACCAGCAGTGGATGAAAGTACCTCTTTTTCTACTCCCTTGCCCCAAGTGTGTTTTCAGGCTTTTTTATTTTACCAATCTGATGAGTAAAGGATATTCCAGTATAGTTTTAATTTGAATTTGTCTTACTAGGAGTGAGGTTGGACCCCTTTTCTTACGTTTTAGCTGGTTTTATTTCTTAGACGTCATGCTTCTATGATGTGGCTTCTAGCTCCAAAGTGGGGACAGGGGACAGTGTTAACTAGAAATTCTAGGCTTTCCTTTCTAAACAGCTCAACTACCGTAAAATGAGCACACTGGGCTGATACCACCCATCTGCTGAAACACCAAGCTCTTAGGTCTCTGGCCATATATGTAGTTTCCATGGTGGTACGTAAAGGTGTGGGGACAGGGGACAGTGTCAACTAGAAGTTTTAGGCTTTCCTTTCTAAACAGCTCAACTACCGTAAAATGAGCACACTGGGCTGATACCACCCATCTGCTGAAACTGGCCATATATGTAGTTTCAGTGGTGGTACATAAAGGTGAGGTACACATTATGAAAAGCATCAAAGCATTCATGCTGCAGACTGGTGAGAACTTAACATCATTAAATTATGGGCTAAAAGTGTTCTGTTGCTGAAACAGTCAACAACCAATATTCTCTGGAGGACCTGCCCTAACAGTAAATTTCATGTCAAAGATTAATAAGAGTTCTTCAGGACATTTGAGACATAAATACTGCTTTAAATTTAGAAAGTCTTTGTAACACTTTAAAGCAAGTGTTTTGTGTTCTTAATTTATAAAATTCAAATTGCTTTCTATAAGTTGCATGCCTTTTGCAGATGATTTGTATATAGAATCTGTGTGACAGATGACCCTTAGGTTCATTCTGAGTATCTTCCTGACATCTAAATAGCAGCAAATGTTATCCCCTTAAATATAATTTACACATTAATACTAAAGCAATTATTTATTCATAACTATGATATTTTACATTTGTTACAACATGAAAAATCATGATTTCTTTCAGGGAAAATGAATAGCTGGCACACTGCTGTACTTGTGGTTTTGTTCTACGTATGATTTCTATCAGCTTGTGTTCTTACTCTTATTCTCGTTCCTTCTCTCACATTATCTATGCTTTCTCATTTCACTTTCAGCCATCATGTGTTCAGTGAAGCCAGATGGAGTTCCTCAGCTGTGTAAAACAGATGAGATTGGAGAGCTCTGTGTATGTGCCATTGCTACGGGCACATCCTATTATGGCCTCTCAGGCATGACCAAGAACACCTTTGAGGTAGGCTGATGGAAAGAGTCCTCTGATCTGATATCTATCCATGGTTTCATCTTCAGACAACCATTTCCAGGTGTATAGTAATAGCCATGAAATAGAAGATTGTAGTTTTAAAATAAATCGTATTCATATTAATTAAAATGGTTACACTTCCTCCGACCATATTTTATAGTTTTTAATAAATTTAGTTTATCTCCATTGCTTTGATCTTGTAACCAGTGTCAAAAAAGAATTAAGTGGTTTCCTAAAAATGGCCTTTTTAAATTTCTTATTGTTTTCACCTTTATGTATTTAATAGAAGTATGCCTTTTCATGAACTGTTCTGTTGAGTGCTGTGTGAACGCTGAGTAGTTTACAGCTTATATTTAATAAGTGAAGGAAACGAAAATATTTGATGCACACATACAAAGCAGAAATACTGATAACAATTAAACTCCCCATTTCTGCAACTGGTCACGTGGCCGTAACTGGTATTTAGAACTACCTTCTTCCACCACCCATTCTGTATTCCCTTTGACCTCAGCAAGCACCGCAGATGGTCGTGGTTCTTTGCCTGGTGGGGTGACCCAAACCTTCATTCCTAAAGGGTCTGGGTCATTAGTAGTCATGTCAGAATTAGGTTGCTGTAGTTTGCCATTGACTTTAATCACAGGGCATGGTAGTACTAAGAGATGCCCTAAGGAATCTCCTGCATTCCAGACATACTCTTCTTTACCTCCATTATGTAATATCAGTCCAATTTCCTCTTGGTAATCAGGATTGATCACACCAGCCAGTATGGTAACTCCCTTCTTTGCCTGTTGATCCAGAGGTATAAGGAACCCAAAGGGGCCAGGTGGCATTCTTAACTTCCAGTTCACTGGAATCAGTGATATGTCTCCCAGTGGGAGCATTCCTCCTTTTGGAACTAAGACCTCTAGGCCTTCAGAGCATAAGGTCGAGGGAACAGGAAGCAAAAATCTTGCCAGTGGGTCACTAGGGGTAATAGTGAGTGGTATCACTCCCATTTCCACCCCTTGATTCCTGGACCTGTGAATCCTGGCTATGGGAGAAACAGCACCACATATGGGGTGCTGGTTTAAAGCATATATCGCCTCTTGGAGAACATTGCCCAAACCCTACAAGGTATTGCCACCTAGTTGGCACCGTAATTGTGTCTTTAGAAGGCCATTCCATCGTTCTATAAAGCCAGCTGCTTCAGAATGATGAGGAACATGGTAAGAACTGTGAATTCCATGAGCATGGGCCCACTGCCACACTTCATTTGCTGTGAAGTGAGTCCCTTGATCTGCGGCAATGCTGTGTGGGATACCATGATGGTGGATAGGGCATTCTGTAAGTCCACAGATGGTAGTTTTGGCAGAAGCATTACTTGCAGGGAAGGCAAATCCATATCCAGAGTAACTGTCTATTCCAGTAAGGACAAAACACTGCCCTTTCCATGATGGAAGTTGTCCAATGTAATCAACTTGCCACCAGGTTACTGGCTGATCACCTCAAGGGACGGTGTCATATTGAGGACTCAGTGTTGGTCTCTGCTGCTGGCAGATTAGGCACTCAGCAGTGACTGTAGCCAAGTCAGCCTTGGTGAGTGGAAGTCCATGCTGCTGGGCCCATGCATAACCTCCATCCCTGCCACCATGGCCACTTTGTTCATGAACCCATTGAGCAATGACAGGAGTAGCTGGGGAAAGAGGATGACTGGTATCCACAGAACGCATCATCCTATCCACTTGATTGTTAAAATCATCCTCTGCTGAGGTCACCCTCTGGTGAGAATTCACATGAAACAAATATCTTCATTTCTTTGGCCCATTCAGAGAGGTCTGTCCACATACCTCTTCCCCGTAAATCCTTGTCTCCAGTTTTCCAGTTGTGTTCCTTGCAAGTACCCAACCATCTAGCCAAACCATTGGCCACAGCCCATGAATCAATATATAAAAGCACATCTGGCCATTTCTCCTTCCAAGCAAAGTGAACAACCAGGTGCAGTGCTCGAAGTTCTGCCCATTGAGAGGATTTCCCTTCACCACTGTCCTTCAGGGAGGTCCCAGAAAGGGGCTGTAGTGCTGCCACAGTCCACTTTCAAGGGGCGCCTACATATCACACAAAACCATCTGTAAACCAGGCACGAGTTTTCTCTTCCTCAGTCAACTGATCATAAGGAACTCCCCACGAGGCCATAGGTACAGACTGGGAGATGGAAGGTAATGTGACAGGAGTGGAGACCATGGGCATTTGGGCCACTTCTTCATGCAACTTCCTTGTGCCTTCGGGTCCTGCTCGGGCCCGATCTCGAATATACCACTTCCACTAAATGATGGAGTGCTGCTGTGCATGTCCAACTTTATGGTTCTGTGGGTCAGACAACACCCAGTTCATGATGGGCAGCTCAGGCCTCATGGTGACTTGGTGTCCCATGGTTAACCGTTCAGTCTCTACTAAGGCCCGGTAACAAGCCAAAAGTTGTTTCTCAAAAGGAGAGTGGTTACCTGCAGAGGATGGCAGAGCTTTGCTCCAAAATCCTAAGGGTCTGTGCTGTGATTCACCAATAGGGGCCTGCCAAAGACTCCAAACAGCATCTCTATCTGCCACTGACACTTCAAGCACCATTGGATCAGCTAGATCATATGGTCCAAGTGGCAGAGCAGCTTGCACAGCAGCCTGAACCTGTTGCAGAGCCTTTTCTTGTTCTGATCCCCACTCAAAACTAGCAGCTTTTCAAGTCACTTGATAAATAGGCTGGAGTAGCACACCCAAATGAGGAATATGTTGCCTCCAAAATCCAAAGAGGCCCACTAGGCCTTGTGCCTCCTTTTTAGCTGTGGGAGCAGCCAGATGCAATAACTTATCCTTCACTTTAGAAGGAATGTCTCAACATGCCCCACACCACTGGACCCCTAGAAATTTCACTGAAATGGAAGGTGCCTGAATTTTTGTGGGATTAATCTCTCACCCTCTAGCACACAATTGTTTTACCGATAAGTCCAGAGTCATTGACACTTCTTCCTTACTAGGTCCAATCAGCATAATATCATCAATGTAATGGACCAGTGTGACATCTTGTGGAAGGGAAAGGCAATCAAGGTCCCTGCGGACTAAATTATGACATAAGGTGTAGAGTTGATGTAGCCCTGCAGTAGGCAAGTGAAGGTGTATTGCTGGCCTTGCCAGCTGAAGGCAAACTGCTTCTGGTGGTCCTTTGAAACAGGTATGGAGAAAAAGGCATTAGCCAGATCAATAGCTGCATACCAGGTACCAGGAGATGTATTAATTTGCTCAAGCAGCGAAATTACATCTGAAACAGCAGCTGCAATTGGAGTCACTACCTGGTTAAGTTTTTGATAATCTACTGTCATTCTCCAAGATGCATCTGTTTTTTGCACAGGCCAAAAGTCCTTGAAGTCCTTGATGGTGGCAGTGTTCTCTGCAGTCCCTCCAGGGATGTGGTATTGCTTTTGGTTTACTATTTTCCTAGGTAGGGGCAGTTCTAATGGCTTCCACTTGGCTTTTCCTACCATAATAGCCCTTACTCTATTTGTCAGGGATCCAATGTGGGGGTTCTGCCAGTTGCTGAGTGTATCTATTCCAATTATGCATCTGGAACTGGAGAGATCACTACAAGATGCGTTCGGGAACCCACTGGACCTACTATGAGACGGACATGGGCGAAGACTCCATTAATAACCTGACCTCCATATGCCCCCACTCTGACTGGTGGGCCACAGTGAGGTTTTGGGTCTCCTGGAATTAGTGTCAGCTCAGAGCCAGTATCCAGTAATCCCCGAAAATTCTATTTCCTTTTCCCCAGTGAACAGTCACTCTCATAAAAGGCCATAGATCCCTTTGGGGAAGGCTGGGAGAAAGATCAACAGTAAAAATTTGTGGCAGTGTATCGGAGTCCTTCCTCAAGGGGACCTGGCCTCCCCTTCATTCAAGGGGTTGTGGGTCTTTAAACTCGCTCAAATCTGGAAATTGTTTGAGGGACCGTGACTCTCTATTCTGGCAATTCGAGTTAGACTGCTGTTCGCCTGACCTAGAATTCATCCGTTTGTATAGATCAAGTAAATATTTAGTAAATTTCCTATCTGTTTCACTCCTAGGGACACCATGACTAAGTAGCCAACGCCATAAGTCCATACAAGTCAGACTATTCTGATTACTGCTTTGACTCCTCTGTCCTTTACTGTAACCATGCCAACCTTGTCTTTGTCGATTGAGTCTAGCCAGTTGGCCCCTACTACCATGGGGTCCAGTCAGCCCAATTGTAGTTAGGTGTCTTAATTCAGTTAGGGCAGTTCCCACTGTCACATCTGACTTACATAAAATAGCAATCACAGCAGTCTTCAAGGATACTGGAGCTCCCTTCACAAATTTGTTCCTCACAGTTTTATCACAGTTGTGATAAAAGGTGTGTCCTCTGGGCACTCCATGTGTGGGTCTCTGGGTTTAACTTGATAAATCCACTCTAGCATGCCAGTTTCCGTAAGCCTTTGGATACCTTCTTCTTCAGTATACCAAGGCAGGTCTGGTGTTTCAACCTGATTTAGTGTTGACCACCTCATAATCCATGCTTCAGTAACCCAACCAAATAAACTATTAGATCCTTTCCTGACTTCTGTAGCTAAAACACTGAATAAACAATCTGTGCTTAGTGGACCCATATCAATAAACTCAGACTGATCCATCTTTATGTTC